GCGCCCCGCCGCCGTCCTTCCGCTGCCCGACTGGCCGGGCCGATCTTTGCTCTTTAACCCCAAACGGCTGCTCTCGCGGGTCAGTCACCCATCCCTGCTGGCCAGCAAGTTTTGCACGGGGGTAGGAGGGCCTGACCATTGCCGTGAAGCTGCGCACACCCCACCCAGCCCGGGCCACCGGGGCCCCTACATTCCCAGGCAGCGAGGTTGGAGCCCTCTCTATTTCGAGGTGGGAGCCACCTCCTGCCAGTCTAGGCCAGGCGACAGGACGACCTGCCTTCGAGGGAAAGGGTTAGGACTCGCGATCCAGGGCTTCCTGTGTGTAGGGGATGAGACCTTGCACCTAAAGGCTCCCACGGCATCTGCGTCCCGCACTTCTCAAAATCGGAGCTGGGCCTTGCACCCCGACTTCATACCGCCAACCACAGGCCTTTGACAGTGGAAGTCAGCCTCCGCCACCCTCCTGCCGGAGCTCTCCCTCCAGCCCCCTCTGCAGCGCATTGGGAGCTGGGGTCCCGGTTGCACCTGCCACCTCCCGGGCCTGCGTGGGGAGATTGCTCCCGGGCAGCCGCACTCATTCATGCTTTGGTCCTGACTTTGGTCAAAGCTCCAGCTCCAGAGCCTGCCTCACTCTGCCCAGCTCCCTGGCACGCTTCAGACCCCGTAATCCCTCGAGCTCCACACTCCTCCTTGCTGCCCTCCAGCTCCCCCAAGCCTCCAGATGTCAGAGATGTCAGGGAGAGGACGTGGAAGCCGGGCCTCAGGCCCCAGCCTGAGGAGTGTGGGCTGCACTGGCATGTCCGCCCCCAGAGGTGACAGGCAGGCTCCTTTCCTCCCCTCCCTCAGTCACTCTGATGGACACGAGCAAGGCACAAGGAGAACTGGGCTGGCTGCTGGACCCCCCAGAGGATGGGGTAAGTGCAGGGAGGAAGGGTTGGGGAGGCTCAAGGATGGAGGCCAGTGGGAACTGGGGCGGAGAGGTGGGTGGAGGAGCAAAAAGAGCAGGAAAAACTGGAAGTGTCTCCTCCTGGAGGGGGAGGGGAGGCTGAGTCAGGGCCTCTTAATGGGATTGGGGGGGTTAGACATCACCCCATGGAAAAGGCCCGGACCCCACTCCCTGGTGAATACTCCTGGGGGTGGGGGTGGGGAGAATGCCCCTGCAGAGAGAGAGAGAGAGAGAGAGAGAGAGAGCACGGCCTGTCTTGGGAAGGCACAGAAAGAGCAGAAACATCCTGGGTCTCAGCTCCTTTCATTCCAGTAGAGTTGCATGGGTAGGTTTCAGGGGGCCAGGGAACCCCATAAAAGTGTGCTCTACATCGTATGTGGACATTTTTTGCTGGAGAGGAGAGCCAAGGCTTTCATCAGATTCTTCAGACGTTAAAAGCTGCTCCCCCTGGGGTGTCCAGGCCCTCGCCATGGTGTCCATACCGCCCAGGTAGGCTCTCTGAGCACCAGCCACAACAGCTGTTGGAGGATGAAGAGCCTGCTCCAAGTCCCTTCCCTCCCTGGGTGTCCCTCAGACCTAGTGAGCAGAGGTCAGTTGTGGGTGGGTCCAGAGAGCATATTTGGACACGAAGTCCAGAGAACACCCTTGCTGGCACTCAGCAGAGCTGGCCACAGAGCCACCAGAGCTGCCTCGGTGGACTGACTTGCTGGTCCCAGACCCTGTTCCCTGGGTGCTTCCTTCCTCACCAGCCCTCGGACTTTAGCCCAGCCTCTCTTGGGTCACAGTTACTTGCTTTCCTCCCATCTGGGTCTGAGGGTCCTGGCTTCATTCTCTGATGTCCCAGAGTGGCCTGTAATTAAAGTTAATAGACTAAACCATAATATATCCTCCAGAGGGGGCTGTTTAGAAAAGCTTAGATTAGGCCAGCCCTAATAGGCGCCTCGTCTCATAAAGCACCTCATCACCCCATGACAATGGCTGGAGTTCCATCTGCTGGCTCCCACGGGCCCCTGCCACCCCCACCCGTGTAGCTCTTCCCTAATTGGGCCAGAGAGAAAAGAACCCTTTCTCAATCTTGCTGAGAAAACAGCCTTGTGGTCCGAGGATAAGAAGAAAGTAGCATCCCCTATCCTGCTTGTCCTTTCCACTTCTTCTCAAAACATACACACACACACACACACACACACACACACACACACACTCGGAGTCAAGCTCACCAGGACGCCCCCGGTGTAGCAGCCAGCAGTACCTGAGTGGTGAATGAAGGATTCTTAATGCTGTTCCTGGCTGGCTGGTTCCCCCCATCTGTCGCTGCTGGCACTGGGAGAGGCAGTTGCAGCTGGGAACATCTGCTTCTCTAGCTCCAGCTGCAGCCTTGGCAGTTTGGCTGCCGAGCTCCAGATTGACCACCCACTCACCACCCTGTCCACCTGCCCCTGCGTATGCCTTCTTCCACCCAGCCCAGCTTCCTCGCAGGTGCAGACTCCAGGTGCTTTGCATGACAGCTTCACTGCCCCTTGCCCCATCTTTGAACTTGCAAGCATAATGCAGAACTATGTGCCTCACAGAAGCTTATATTTCTGCACCACCCCACTACCAAAACTTTTCATGAATGGCGCTTTTTCTTGCCTTTCCTCCAAGCTGAGAGTAGGCAGGGGAGTTGGAGCACTATAGTGGAGTAAAAGCCCTGGAAAAGTGCACTGTCTGTCTTGCCTTTCCTCCAAGCTGAGAGTAGGCAGGGGAGTTGGAGCACTATAGTGGAGTAAAAGCCCTGGAAAAGTGCACTGTCTGTCTTGCCTTTCCTCCAAGCTGAGAGTAGGCAGGGGAGTTGGAGCACTATAGTGGAGTAAAAGCCCTGGAAAAGTGCACTGTCTATTTTAGGGCTGCAGGCTCTATCAGGTTATGGGGCGGCCTCCAAAATATTAATGGGATATTTTGTAAAATTCGACAGCTGTTTTCTTAAATTCATCTCCCCCCCCCAAAAAAAAAAACTTCAGGAATGAGAATTTTTTTTTAAGAATAAATAGTAGACATGTCCTACCAGCAGATATCAGAACATCAACAATAGTTAAAATATGTGGTGTTAACAAGAATCCTCAGGCCCATGGAACAGAACAGAGTCCAAAAACATCCCCACATACGTGATGTTTGAACGTAGCTGACACTGGAATTGCAAATCAATGTGGAAAGTGTTGTAGGGAAAGACATTATTTGTTAAAATATAAAGTAGCCTACAAAATAACGCTGGTGTGATCTCGTTTATGGTAGAAACACAGCACAGAAGCTCTTAGACACTTCTGGGGAGGCATTGGAAGTGATCGGCAGAGTGTTACTCTGCGTGGTTAAGAATGGCTGCCTTGGGAATAGAGCGGAAGGATGGTGGCACTTTACCTTTTTATTCTGTGTATGTCTTTAGTTCCTCACTGTATCACTAATGCAGAGAGGCGTGATGATTAAGAGCATAAACTCTGGGGCCTGAAACACCTGGCTTCACGGTTCTGCTCTTCACACCTGAGCAGGTCACTCAGCCGCTGGGCAGGTGGCTCCACCTCACTTCCTCAGGGAAAGAGCCTGGAGTAGGGACTGGCCTGTGGTAACTGCTATATTAGCACGCGCCATTTTTACTAGATTTTAAAATTCTTTTAATGTAAAAGAAGTTAAGGAGGACAGACCCGATAGCGCCTGGGAGTCTGGCCAACTCTTGTAATTGATTTTGCTAATGGCTATAGGTGGAAGGAATATTGGAGAGCATGAGAGGACCCTGTAGCAGAGTTCTGTGCTTGATCTTGCCCTCCAAAGTAAGGCTCCTCCTCTCTGCACAAAGAGACAGAAGAGTTTTGTGAATGAGCTTTGCCTTGGGGGTGCCTGACACTTCTGCTGATGAATGGATATAAACCGGCACTCGTACTCTTAGAGCTGGAGCTGGGGTAGATGAACTGCACGGACAGGGGCTAACTAGGTTAAGGGGCTGTTTTTCTACCCAGCCTATTGCCAACTAAATCTGCAACCTTAAACACTTAACCTACTATCCTGGGGCTGAAGGGTCAAGTTGGGCAGGTCCTCTTTATCAGCTCTGGTCCCTGATTCTGATTATCTCCCCGCAGTGGAGCGAGGTGCAACAGATGCTGAACGAGACACCCCTGTACATGTACCAGGACTGCCCACTGCAGGAAAATGGAGACACAGACCACTGGCTTCGCTCCAACTGGATCTACCGAGGGGAGGAGCCCACACGCATCCACGTAGAGCTGCAGTTCACTGTGCGAGACTGCAAGAGTTTCCCTGGGGGAGCCAGGCCTCTGGGCTGCAAGGAGACGTTCAACCTTCTGTACATGGAGAGCGACCAGGATGTGGGCATCCAGCTGCGACGACCCTTGTTCCAAAAGGTGCTGCTGCCACTCTGTGTCATCGTAGTCCTGACACTGATTCCTGCCTGGCTCCTTACCATGACCCTGCTCAGCTAAGAAAATAAAAAAGGTGGCAGAAACGAGAAGGACGTGCAGGTGCAGAAGAATGGAAAGACACTTGGAGCAGAAACCGGAAAGGCTGGATTTGAGTGCCTCTCTGTTGTACCTGCTAAGGGCTCCAAGCTTTGTTCTCCTCATCAAAAAATAGTGATAATGGGACTAGCCTTGTCTGTCCCAAAGGCCTTTACTGGCATGCACTGAGCTGACCAGGTCCCATGGTAGAGGAAGGAAGTGTAGCACAGATGTACTTAGACTTCTTCTGTCGGCCACCTTGACCCGGTATTCATTTACAACACACCCCACGAGTTTTGCAGCGAGAGTTTTATAGTAGGGCAATTCCCTGCCGGCAGCCTCTGATATCATTCCTTTCTTTCTTACTCAGAAAACATAGAGAAATGCAAAACAGCAAGGAGCATATGATGATGGAATGTGCTCTCACTTACCTCCAAAGAGCAAAAGTTGTAAAGTTTATTATTAGTAATAAATTAATTATGACACACTCTATAACTGATCACCTCATTGCGGCAGGGTTAGGAACACCTCCCAATAGTGGAAATTTTATGGATTATAAAGTCCCACTTCCTGGA